CCGTAACGATTCAAAAAGAAACTTAGACAAATCGATGTGACAAGTCAAGTTTACATATGTCGAAATAGATGTGTACATATATCGAATCAATTCAATTTCCGTGCGCGCATAGCCCTTTAAAATTCTCATTTTGCCTTGCGGTTTCTTTTGGTAAAAAACGTACGGAATCTACTCTGTAAGAAGCGTAATCGCGCAATTACGATCATAGGAAAGTAATGATTATTAATCGTGCAATGGGTTCCTATAGATTTTTTTATTTTCCCGATCACGTTGAAATCGAATCAATCCGGTTGTCTGCGTTTCTCGCACCGAACTGTGTACACTTGTAACTCTCTCCTTTCTTTTTCTTTCCTCGTGTTTCGAATAATTCGATTCTTAGAATCGTTATTCTCTTCGAGACTCGTTGCACAATCGAATTTCGCGACGATAACGCACACAATACGTATATATCCAACGAACTCGGAGTATCGCCTTCGGCGGCGTACTTACGACGTACATACGACGCATAATAAGGCGATCAAACTTTTACCGTTTAGATTCTCTTTCAATGGACTTTTTCTATCTCTTTTTCGGTCTTACTTTATTCGGGACTTACTTTCTCTCGTTGCAAAACGTAAATTTCCTATCGGTAGCGCGTAAAGCGAAAACGTTGAACAATGTTTCGTCGTCGATGGGGCAAAGGTAAAAGCACATGATCAAAGTTTCATTCAATTATAGTCAGCGAAACAAATTATTCCTTTTATTTCGAGAGCAGACGCATATTGTTGACTTTGACAAACCGATATCCTTTTAAAACATAGGACAGATGGGTGTGGAAGGAAAGAGGAGTCGTCGATAGAGAGAGGAGGGAGGGAGGGAGGGAGGGAGGGAGGGAGAGAGGGAGAGAGAGAGAGAGAGAGAGGATAATAATACGCGCTTCAGCGAAACAACTTTTCCGCGCCGGTAGAAACGCCGGACGACCGGACAAGGAGATAGAAAGAATGAAGGAGAGATAGGAGGAGGACGCTCGGCCGACCATTTCCTTTTTATTGAAGTATTTGTTTAACGGTGCTGCGGCTACGAGCTACGAGATGGAAGAGAGTGGTAGTAGTAAGGGTGGTAGTAGAAATAAAAAGAAGAGAAGGAAAAAGGGTAAAGGCATCTAAGGTGGCGTCGTTTCTGTGAAAATTCTTCTAGTCTAGATACGTCTTACGTATGGAGAAGTGGCCCCGGGGGCGTGCTCTCGACTTGGCCGGACACGGAAGTGCTATACGGGAGAACGCGTAACGACCACCTACCAAATGTACCTATCTGTCCTATTGTGTGCCGGTATATATGTATATCCTTACACGTAAAATGTGTCGGAGAGATATTTTTATTGATAGACACGTCTACCTAAAATTTGCCGTAAAAGCTCTAAAAAAGCTCTTCGAATTTCACATCCTTTTTAGGTATGTCGCAACGCGTTAAAGTCGATAAATTATTCGCTTCGTAGCACCGATCTAAATGAACTCTTCAGGTTGCACAATTAGTTAATTCGATTCGCTAAACCCCTATAGTATAAGTGATACTAAACGATGATAATTTGCGCTTTGACATGGTATAATCGGATCATGTTTAGAATCATCAAACGATTTTTCGAGTATTAGACGCTTTTATCGTAGAAGCTTGGGTTTCGATGCAATATCCTCGCTTACGTCATAAAAGCTGCGCGCTCACTTAGTACTCGTTTATTCGTTTGGAAATTCAACGAGATATTACCACCGGTCAGCCACTGGCCTTAACGCCAGTTCCCTTTCTACTCGTAATCCTTACATTCGATCGTACCAATTACGCTCGAAAAGCGTAATACGTAACTTTGGAAATCCGTAGCGAGCAATAGCATTGTTCCGTTAAACAGATTTAACTCTGATCTAACTTTACTTGCTTTTATTTTTAATCAACATTTTTTTAACACTTTTATAGGGGAGGGGGGGGGGGAGGAGAGAGAGAGAGAGAGAGGGAGGCAACAATTTTGACACACTATATACAATATATTATAATGTTATTACGAGCGGTGTGTATTCGACATTCTGCAAATAATGCACGTGGAGCGGAGGAAAAGGAGCCTAGAATTCTCTGGTAAATATTGAATTAGAATATCGGACGACGTCTCACGGATGTCTCCCTCTTGAAATATTTGCTTGGCAGAAAATGTGCGAGTGAGCGAACGCTCGGATATATTTTTAAACGTTAATAAAATGAATGAGAATGATAAAAGCGATAATTTGAAACGTATCAACGTCGATAAAATTATGTAGATATTAGTGCGATAATCGTCATCGACTAAGCTTACGAGTAGAAAGTCACGAAGGAGACGTCGTTTTTTCTTACGGATCGATCGGACTCATTCTCTGCAAAGTCATTCTATAGATAAAGCGGTCGTTATATACCATCCCTTCTTACCGAGATCGATAGCACTTAAACGCGCTAGCGTCGCGTGCCATCGAACGCGTACTACATGAGTCATTTTCACGAGCTTCGTGTGCCTGTTAGTTTTCCTTCTCTCTCTCTCTCTCTCTCTCTCTCTCTCTCTCTCTCTTCTTTCCCCTTTTTTTTTCTTTTTTTTTCCTTTTCAATTGTTCTCAATCGCACGTGAAGCACTACTTCTCTCCCTTCATGCTGTATCGTACCATCTTCGCAAAGGCTTTCCTCGATTTACAGATAATTTCAACGCGCGAACGTACATCGTTCATTTTCTTAAAAGACCGTGACTCGATTCGTTTACTCGTTCGTTGCGAGGGTTATTTTCGAGGTGCCAACCTTGTGCGCGATTTCATGTTCTACTTGACAATATTTTGCTATTTTCAATGTTGAAAAGTGAAACGAACGCGAACGCGAACGCGAAGCCTGGCAATGGCTCGTCATTAAACATTCAAACGTATAGCAAAAAAGAAGATGCATTTGCATCTCGCACTGCAACTGCGGGGATCCACGGGAAAAAGATAAATAATTCAAAGGTTTTTACGTAGCCAGGAAACAAAAAGGAAAAAAGGAAATTTCGAGCGGTGGTAATGGCGACGATTCGCTGGGATGGAAAATACCGACTCGACTCTTCGGCCTAAATCGACGGATAAATATCCGCTGAACGTTGTTTCCTACGACTTTTTCGACTTTTCCGTTCTAATTTTTGTTCTGCCACTATAAAAGGGAGTGAAATTTATTGGGGGGTGGGGTGCGTGGGTGGGGGGGGTGGGGATGGGAGAGGGAGAAAGAAAAAGAAAAAAAAGAAGAAAAGGAAAAAGAAAAGAAAAAAGAATAGACCGTCAGAACGCTGCCGAAAGTTTCAACGACACTTGAAAATAATTTGATAGGTGCCATTCGTTCATAGGAATTCGATACGATAATGCACGGTCATTACTTTATCCATGATTTCGTAAACATTCCTAATTCATAAACATTTAATTTTTCGAGAATCGAGTTGTTTAATAAGATAAGTCAATGGTCTAAATTCAAGGGGTGACGAGGCATTCAACAAGCGTCGCGCTGTGTTATCTTCCATCGCTTTCTTTCGCTTTACTACTTTCATTTTTTATATCTCCTTTTCTTTTCATCCAACGTTATTCCCGGTCGCGTTGTTCCTCATAATTCCTCGTAAAACACTTTTTCTTCCGTCCTCCTTCTATCGTCCATTCTCCTCTTCTTTCGCCACCGCCCCCTTTCTGTCGTCGTTTGCATAAAGCGAACTATCCGCACTTTTAATATACGCAAATGAACTTGCGCTCCGGAACTAATCATATTTGCATACGAAATAGCAATCTCCTTTGAGTCTCTGTCGTACTTATTAAGGCAGTTTAGTCGTCGAAAAAAATGTTGTATCGACCCTCCAGCCGATACGTTTCCGCGAGTCGTAGCGCTCGTTGTCTCGTCGAAAATCGAACCAATTGATTTTATTCACACACATTTTTTATTTTATACTTTTATATCTACCATATAAATAGATCTTTCATATCTCTTTTGGTTAGACACGCGGCTGTTCGTATTTTAGTATCATTTTTTGCCATCTTCACGCACCGTTAATAGGATTTATTTCCAATCTTTCGCACTATGAATAACGCATGAACTTTCTAGTTGGGCGATAATTCGATACAATGTTTTATGTAAGGTCTCGTTTTATCGAAAACATTCGGAATGTATCTAAAAGTTAAAGACACTCGGAGAGTGCACTTGGTTATTTTCTCTCTTTTCTCCCTTTAGGTAATTTCGTTGGTTTGTGAGTCTCTTTTCGTTCTAGGTTTTCCTCTATCGATCGCTCGATCTACGTGAAAATCCGAAAGTTTGAACCTTATCGTCATTTAGTTATGCAGTCGCTCGAGGTAATTTCGGTCGGTGGACCTAACTGTTGGGTTTCAGTCTACCCTCGAGCCACATAACGTACACAATCGAAGTATTCCCATTAGAAATTAACAAAAGCTTGTCTTTGTGTACAATATGTGCGGTTGACGAACGTAGGTGAACGATAGAAGGGTCAAAGGCAAACGTTCCTTTTCACGAGCTACCGTTTAGAAGCTCCCCTCTCTATGTACTTACTTTTTTGCTCAACTAGCAACGTAATAATAATAATAATAATAATAATAATAATAATAATAATAGTAATAATAATAATATTCATCGACGTGCGCGATTCGACTTTCGAGCGTACGTACGTCTTTTTTTTGTTTCATTTCTCTCGTCATCGTGTATTCATTATTTTTTCATCGATCGCCAGCGCGTACCACGGAACGAGATTACGATTGGAAAGTCGTTGCATGTTTCGCGTTAATACTCTCGCCTGTCTATTAGATATACCCATTTTTCTTTATCTCTTCCTTGCGCTTCCACCTTGCAAATGTGGGATATTACTAAAAATCCTTATAACAGCGCGCTCTATCGCTTCGTTCTGTCCCATTAACTCACTAATTATCCTGAAAAAAAAAAAAAAACAACTGGCGCGGCACATCTAACTAACACGATTAACGAGCTCTCGATTTTCTCATTTCCAGGTGCCGCTTTGTGCATCCACTAACCGCACGAAGAGAGCCGCTTGACTAATCTTCGAAAAAAATGCATCCTCCTAATTCTCCTTAATCTCGACGATGGTCGTACGGCGATTTGAAAATCTCGTCTTCGGTTACGAGCGTTCGCGTCGCGATCGCTAGGCTTTCCCCCGAGAGAAACGGCGCGAGCGAGTTCTTCGAAGATGCGAAAGAGTTCCAAAGATGCGCAGGACCAGCAGCAATGGCTTAAAGCTCGATCTAACGGAGAACACGCCAGGTAGCTCGTTGTCTAGGTTACCGAACTTGGTCGAGCATGCGGAAAGTTGTCAGGCCCTGTCCACCGGCACGGGAGAGAATTTAAGCAGCAAATTGCCGAACGTGGTCGAGGGCTCGATGGACTATGGTAGCGAACGTAGGTCCTCCCGATACTTGGAGTATCAAGACTCGAAATCCTACCAGGATGGTCAGGCCGTCGGCTCGTCGGTGGCCGGTACCTACGATCACGTCGACTATCACGAGCAACAACTGAGGGCTTACAGGAATTGCGAGAGAAAGACAGGGCCGAGTTACGGTAGAGAAAACGTCGATAGATACGACGACAATAGAATATATCCGGAGGATGGTCCGAGGTACGATCGTCGGGGAACCGTCGAGGATAGAACCTACGAGGAATCGGATTTAGATGGGTCTTACGAAAGAAGCGACGCTCAAAAGTTGAGTGCAAGAGCTTATCCGACGGAGCTACAGGACACGTCGAGCACCAGACGATACTCGAGGGACTTGACGGATTACGAGTACGCCTCGAGATACACCGAGGAAACGTTAAAGCTCGAACCGAAGAAGGATCATCATCATCATCATCATCATCACCACCATCATCACTCCGGTAAGATCTACGAGCCCTCGGGCGCGTCGAAGGGTTACGAGTCCGGCGTTAAGACCCACGACTCGGCATACGAGCTCGGTGGTGGTGCTGGTCAACAACAGCAGGATCCGGTCTCGGCCGGTAGGAAGTATGAGAGCAAGTATCATTCGGCCGGCAAGATGTACGGGACTTTACCAAGATACGATACAACCGGCAAGTCCTCCAGTTACGAGGCGGCGGCTACCGGTTACGAGCCGAGATCGTTCGAGTCGAAGTACGAGGAGCAAGGATACGAGACCGGTAGCAAGGCTTTCGATCCGAAATACGAATTGACAAGCTCGAAGAGCTACGAGAGGTGCAAGTACGATGGTTCCTCGTCGGCCAGATATCGCGACAAGTCCTACGAGCAAACGCTCAAGATCGGAGAACTCAGTTCGTCCTCGTCGGCCGGTCCTTACGCGAGAAAACAGAATCAGGAACACGAGGACGTAACCGCGGAGAAGATGAACGGTTACAGGAAGAATACGTTCGAGGCCTACGGGGTTTACTCGGATCCGGAGGACGATCATGGTTTTCTAGCCGAGAAGAAGGCTCCTCAGTATACGTACAAGGGGGTAGTCGTTAACGCCAGCGGGGAGTCGAGCGTCGTCGAGAAGCGCACGAAGGACAACAGGCAAACGGAAATGCCACGAAGTCCTTGGTGCAGGCCTATGATTTTGCTGCTCCTTCTGGTCCTCCTCGTCGTTATTTTCGTATTCGTCGCTGGAATACTTTTGTATTTCAATTGTAAGTTCGTTCTACCACATTCACCTCAACCTAACTTATATAATTTTCAGCAATTCCATGATCTGTTGCGATGTATAACGTTTAACGTCCAATAGCTAACATCATCGTCGTTTAACTTAAAAAGAATTGGACGACGCGACATGTGCCGGCGATACGTTAAGCCAAAATCGCTAACTGTCTCTACGGACAGGTTTTATTGTCCCGATATTTTGACACGCTCGGCACGTAGGCCTACTAGCGATACCGTTTCTTCGGAATTACAATGCATTCTCGTAAAGAGGTAGAAAGGGAAAGGCATGGAAATAAACTCTATTAGACGTTCCTACTCCTACGAGGATTCTCTTTGAAGAAAAACAAAAAAAAAGGACAAAAGAAAAAAAAAACAACGAGCCGATTATCCAATGCAATTTATTCCAATAGTTCGAATAGAATTACACCGACTCGCGAGATTTAAAAAAAAAAAAAAAAAAAAAAAAAAAAAAAAAAAAAAAAAAACACACGCTTTTACATGGTTTTGCTACCATCGAAATATCTCTTTTTGCTTCGTGAACCTTTGTTCCGACGATCGAACGCGTCGTCCCGAACTTTCCGAGAAAGATAAATTCGAGTTTTGCCGTTCGTTGGCCGAGTCTCTATGGCCGCTAACAATACCGGGAGGAATTTCTATCGTGGACATTTGTTATTCATTGTTTTCACCCTTCCTTCCTCGCTACCGCCCCATACGAGGACGTGTATGTATAAAAGAAGGGTCTACCTTGTCTCGGAGCATTATCGCGAAGGATCCTCTAGCTAGTGTACCGATTGGAATTTATTTCTCCGTAAGTTTTCTACACGCCCGGAATGGGATAGTAGGGAAAGGGATATAGCGAAGTTAAAAGGGAAGCGAGACGGGACGAATAGATTCTCGATCTCTCTCGGTCGAAAGTCATCCAAGATTTTTCCTCGTCGTCTTCCGACTCTATATATACGGCGATACCTTGAATGCTTAACAGGAAAGATAGAATTTGTTGTAGAGAGGAGAAATCGGAGATGCCTTCGATATTTCATTACAGGACCATCTCGGGTCCCTCGTATTTATGTAACGATCGATGAAGATTGGAAAAGGCGTTACGTTACGTCTCTGAAATCCAATTCGACGAAACTCTCTTAACAGTCGCGTAATGGGAGAACACACCCCGGCAAAGGTAAGGAGTACGGTTATCTCCTTGGGATTTCTATCCTACTCGAACTACATTGCCCCTATCGCTTTGTTTTCACGATGTGCCCGTCGGCGGCTCGTCGTATCTAACGATTGGCCATTGAAAGAGAAAGAGACGCAAAAGGCGGCCGCAAGGATAAAACGACGAAGAAAAAGGAAAGGGAAAAGAAAAAAAAAGAAAACAGAAAGGAAGGAACAAAAATTTTCTCACCCTCTTTCATCGTACGATTTTTGGTTTCTCTCAGTTTATAGCACGGTCCTTGGAACGATTTCGCAATGGCATTCGCCGCGTTAGTAGAAAGAGCAGAGGGGAAGAGAAAAGTCGTAGAAACGAAAGGTGAGTGTTCCCAGGATGGACGACGATCCTCCGCGATAACGCTGATAGACGACTGGGATCGTAGGTGGTAGGAGGGTAGAGGGGTTGGTTGGTACATTCCGAGTGGCTGCATTTGGCAGCGGTCGACAGGTTCCGCCGAACGATTCGGTTTATTTTCGGGTCAAGTTTTCGCTCGACCGCTTCGCAATCAGACAGAACATAGTCTATCGGACAATACATTTACTGCGACGTAGGACCATGACTCTCCCTACGTAGGGTTTCATGGTTCTCCTCTGTCTACTCGACACCGCTCGTTTCTCTCTCTCCTTTCCACGTACATATATGTATATTTCCCTAGTCTTTTCTCTCTAACTCTATTTCTAGCTTGCACACTCGTATTTTCAACGGGATTTTCGGGAAATTCGATTTCGCCGCCGGCAGCAGTACGATGTTACTACTGCGTCCTGTTCACGATTCCTGTCGGCGCCATTTGTAACGAGCGCAGTTCGACTCTCGACGAGCATACCATTTCTATCGATAAACTGCACTCGGCTCTTTCTATCCCTAGTTGAATCGAGAGTCAAGTTACTGTCCTCTATTGACTATCGCTCCTCTAAAATTCCGTTCTTACATTTGCTCGCGAAAGAATTCGAGCTGGGAAATGGTGCGTTCACACAGACATTCAACGATCTACGGTATTACGGCGTTGTTAATAGGGAAACTATTTCACGTTCGAGAGAGTGAGAGAGAAAGAGAGAGAATACGAGAAAGGATAGCGTGCAAATTCCTGCAGGGAATGGTCTCGAGGAAAAGCATACTCGGATCGAAGGTTCTTGCACCGCACGACGGCGTTCGCTCGACGGCTTTTTCTTGCCGCAAAGTTTTCGAGCTTCTCGGAACGCAAAGAAAAAGAGGATAGGAGGAGGAAGAAGAGAGGACAGGATCGAGGCAACTTACGGAAAAGACGTCAAGGGGAAGCGATTGAACGCACAGAGGCGTGGAAGAGAGAGAGAGAGAGAGAGGGAGAGGAAAGAGAATTTATCGATCTTAGTCCTATTAACTTGACGAGCAAGTTAACATTAATCTTGGAAATATCAAATCGTTTCTATACGATTTTTCATTCTCTATCGTCGTCTTTTGTTAAGACTTTCAAATACATTCACTCGATTCGCTTTCAACTAACACGTGTCACACTTTTCTACGCGATGAAATTTATCTCGCTAGTGGATCAGCGCGTCGTTAAGGAGGATAACAAAGTTTTGCTTGCACGGCCTCAGGAACCTCTTCCGAAGGTTGCAATTTAAACTAGTTACGGAACGTTTATCGTCTCGCGGCAACGAATTTCGGTTCTCTGGTCGTCTCGTAAATGAACGAGAGCTTCGCCAAGGAAGTTTCCTCGGATTTGTGTGTGTGTGTGTGTGTGTATTTGTACCTCTGCGTATTCCACAATTTCTTCCTTAAAACGTGTCTGCTTGCCTATCCATCTGTCTGCCTACCTGCCCGTCTGCTTGACGATTTCGCTTCAAGGTGCAAAGTGCCTCTGCTCGCAATTTTGCTATTACCTGAAGATCCAATTTCGTTCGTCTTTCTCTTTCTCTCGTTTTCTGAAAATCCCTCTTCCCTTTCTCCGTCTTCTCTCTGAAATCTAACCTCCTCGCTGTTTTAGACTCCTTCCTACTCTTATGCGTTTCCCCAAGAATACTTTTCTCTTTGGATATATACGCGAAGAATAAATGAGTTGGCTATGAAGCGAGCTTAAACGTTCGAGAGATGTTTTAGGGATAACGAGGATAGTAAACGGAATACCTTGTAATAAAACAGAAAATTATTCGTTACCTCGAATAAGTATCGTAGAAAGGGTCTTTCTACTTTTCATCGGAATCGTCATTCTAATAACTCGAGCGAAGGATAAAGTACAGCTATGTTTTACAATGTCATTAAACGCAACTTAGAAATGTTATAGATAAGATTAGATGGAAAGGATAATTTCGTTTTTACGGGGATGCCCGGTTAATTAACGTCCCTAATCGACCTCAAGTTCAATCGAATTTAATAGAATTCAACGGGCCGAATTCGACTGGTCCGAGAGACGAAGGAACTTTTCTACGACAGGATCGTTCTCTCTATTGACACTAATCCCTCCTTTACTAAATGCTCATCGTTAATCGCTGCGGAATAGTAGGTCCTAGGATAAATGCGGTGATTTTGTCTATAAAGTAGCATCTCGCTGGATGTGAGGTGCATACGCCCGAGAAACGATGCGCTCTTTGTAATTTATGTGGAACAAATGTGCGCGCGAGCGGATTTTAGGGGGATCGTGGAAAAGCGGATAAGGAGGATCCGGGGGCTAGAGATATTCTCTCTGGCCTTAATATGATCGGCAGCGTCCTTAATCCCAAAACCCTGAGCCCATCCCTGAATTGTGACGCTGCGAGCTTGGCTGAGAACGAGGACGAAATGGAGGAATCGCGGGAAACGCTCATAAAGGCGGATGCGAACGCGTGCCTTACATACTAAATTCTCATTCTGCGGCAAAGGTCCGCAGTGCACGTACGGGACAGCTCGCATCGTACTCCCTTCACGTAAGCGAACCCTCTGCTCTTTCGAACTCTGTCCTTTGTGTGTGCTTCGACGTGCCTCCAAACGACTTCGATCGATTCGCTTTCTCGACCTTCTTGTCGGCGATCTCTCGCTTCTTTCTTCTTTTTCTTTTCTTACCTCTCTCTTGTATGTCGATAATACGATGATAAACTTAACCGTAAGGTAAGAAAATTTGATATTAGTAGTACTGTATATATATATATATATATATATACACACACACGTATACACACGTGGTATATAGTAGATAATACCGTATATCGTTGTGATCGAAGTAATACTCGAGAACGGTCGAAGTAATACTCGCATCGATCCGGATATGAATTTTGTACGTATCGCTTATCGTATCAATTATTAATTGCATAGCCATCATTGTTAATTGACGTAGTATCTGACAATCCAAATTTTAAGCGATTTAACGGAATTTCAAAGTAACTTCGTCGACGATAAACGTGGCGGATATAACGATGAATCCATAGCCCCCTTATTCGTAACGGATGCGTTAAAAAATTCTTTGGATAGAGATAGCAATCCACTTACTTCCCCGTCCTATCGTCCAAAAGTTGATAAGGCAATTACCGGTTATTGCTCTTATATGTAAGGTCTTTAACAAATGGCTCTCTTAATGAAATTCTCCGTTGCCAGATCCAGTTTTGCCCGGGCATATATTTTAATAAAAGATACCGCCTCCGCCATTTTCTCTCCGTTCTCGCGAATGTTTCCATCGAGATATCGTATGCGCTGTTAATAGAAAATAACTACTATCTACGGTTTAACGAGCGCCTTGGACGAATCCTGTTCAACGAACCTACGTAGACACGTATCTATGGAGTTTCGAGCAAGTTTGAGCGAGTTTTTCCGTCACGTATCTCGACCTTTATATCACTTAACGCATCCTCCATTCTATCCTCGGCGTGTCCGTAAATTTTCGTCCTATGCTTTCGTTGAAATAACATTGAAGACGGACGCGCATCCGTGTGTGCTCGACGCAAACAGAGAACTCACGGGAGTTGGTAAGTATATTGGGCACGTGGGCGCAGTTAGGAAAGACGTGAGCACGAAACTGGAAGGAAAACTTTCTTCATTTTTCGCGCCGGTCGGTCGGTCGGTCGGTCGGTCGGTCGGTCGATCGGTCGGACGGTCGATGAAAAGTTGTGCTGAAATATCGCCAGAATCAATCGCTAGCGCAGAGTGGCTCCGATCGAAAGAGTATTTTCTGTGTTTCTGTCGGAAGCTAGCCCCCGATCTTGGAACTCAAAAGGTTGAGAGAAAGTAATGACCAAGCTTTGAGCTTTGCAACGTAAATTCCTTTAGTAAATTTTATTCCTTTACGTCGACATAAGTACATCCCTGCACACCTAATTAGTCGTCATTTTTGTTCGTTACCTTTAAAGGTTATCGACGAGTAAGTAAGAGTAGATTCGGTCGGTCCGCATTAATCACTGATACTCGAATTGCACGACAAGCGTCCAAGTTATCGATCTCTCGGTATCGAAACGGATGATGTTACTGCATTCTCCTCGTATGATCCTCGAAAAGGGATCTTCATGTTCACATGATGACGATAGGGACGATACGAGCGTAGAACGTTTCACTAATTATCCCGCGTATCTGCGCATCTCATCAATTTATCGACATGAAACGCTCAATCGATGATTGAGAAATGGATATTGGGTGATGAAAAAAGTAAGGGGAAATGATAATTGCTTCGTCTATCGAATTTTTTTTTTTCCCTTACGCCTATAGTTACATATTACTATTTCAATTAATCGTACGATACGGAAGATGGATTAATCGGATTAAAGGCGCATCGGCTTTGGCAGAACGGCCATAAAACGGGGGGAAAAAATTCGAATAACCGATTGCACGAGAACTAATGCGAAAGGAAGGAATTTAATCAGTCGCTGCGTCGCATACTATTCAAAGGGCCGATGGGTATGTTCGATTCGAATTTGCTTAAGCTTCTGGAGATAGAGTTGGTATAAAGAAAACCGGATCGTCGTTCTACCCGATCTCGAGCGAGCCGAAAGATACATGTGGCCTGCCAGGAGGGATCGTCGCGTTGATGGCGACGAACGAATCAAAGCACGCCCATAATCGTCCTATTCGGCCTTTTTTTTCCCTCTTATTAGTTTAATAACTGCTTCGGTTGTCGAGGAAAGTAAAATGGAAAATTAATGCATTTCCAATTTCGCCGGGTCGGTTTGCAGGTCAATGAAGCAACAGGGAGCGTCCCCAAGTGTTCGCTCGGTCTGAAACGTTTTTCATAGAAATGGCGTTTTTCGATTCTCTTTGAAGTTTTTCACAAGAGTATACGCCTATACATAAATAGTACTTGGACCCTTCCTATTACAGGCACATTTTCGCGCAAACGCATTTACTCCAGGGCCCCTTCGATAAAGAGAAAAAGAAAATGAAATATCGCGTCTACGTGTACGAAGTATCAAATTAGTCTTTGACCAAAAACGATATCGATGCAGAAAGATGTCTCTCGCTTTTGCCATGCCATAAATCGTTCTACAAACAATCCCTTTTACTCATTCCCAATTCTATTACGGTAACGTTTCGTAAACGGCCCACGGCTACGCGTTCGAAATAATTTACAATGTTTTCCAACGCATTTTCTTCTCGTTTAAACTCTCGCGCCGTTTGCAAATTCTCTCGATATTTTCACATCTCGCGTTTCGTCACGATGGCCTTTTGTACGGTTGACATCAAGTTTGACAGTTGGTGCGAACTAATGATCATGAGCGATGATCGGTATTTGTAAGATATTAAGCCGATAGAGAGAGAGAGAGAGAGAGAGAGAGAGAGAGAGAGAGAGAGAGAGAGAGAGAGAGAGCACACTTAGAACGGTTCGGTACGCAATGCGAGCGTAACGACGGGTGGCGTGTTTTACCGCGTTGCTTGTGGGAGTGACGACACGTGTTAACCATGTGCGCGCCAAGCCACGGATATATAGCTCGAACGGAAAAGGGAAAATATAGGGGAAAATATTGGCAAGATTTCGGCGAGATATCTCCGCGCGCGAGTTCTCATGGAAGCCGGCTGCATACATATCGTTACTTAGTAAGAGCGCCACCTGTCTTCAACTGCTCCTCGTTTACCGTAATCCCATACTCCCTCCTACGTTCGAAAAGACGTCGGCCCTTACGAATTACCGTCCATTCGCCGATCGCATCGTTTTTGCTTAGCCATTCGAAAATGAAAATCCACCCGGCAAGTGTACGAATAGAAAGTCAAACGTCGAAAACGTCCCCTCCGTATTTTCCTTCGTTTCTACGCGCACAGGTCAACATATATATCAATTTATGGATTTATGGATAGTACCGGGATAGTATCGATCCTGCGATACGAGTTCTCGGTTGAAAAATCCTATCGTTGCTATCGATCGATCTCGTAACGAGACAAACTTCTAATTGCTTTTGCGTTCTTGATGGATAAAGCGTAGCTGTATTCGAGAATTTGCCATTCAGATTTCATCTACGTGATAGTAGCACGTAGACGCGCATGAGTCCGGCCGCATCGCGGAACAATGGTTATTAAAAATTGTACGGTATCGCGATCTCCAGCTGCTCTATCTTCGTCGAGGCGAATAATCGAAAAAAATGCTCTGACCGGGTAACAGTAATAAATCATTCGCTTCGCTAACCACCGAACAACGGATGGGGAACTTTATAATAAAATTTCTCAAAAGCTTACAAATTGCTAACTATACGCGAGGGTAGGTATACCTACTTTTCTTTTTTTTTTTTTTTTATGTAATGTCTAGTAAGTCGAAGCTTCGTAAATGCGCATTATGAAAATTAGGATAACGTTATGTCGCGCGATTATAAGTGATAATAACAATAACAATAACCCTAGCTTCCAACGCGTACGCATTCGTTCCACGTATCCAACTTTAATCGTGCTCATTTCCTAATAAACGTCACGTACGTTTCGTTATTATCACTCGTGTTCGTTATTATCGTTACGTTATCGTTCCGTCTCGTTTACGCTACCTTCAATAGATTTTCGGCGCGATGAGAGCTACGTAATAGCGAAAACTTTAGGCGTATCCTTTACTTATTGTTACAACTGAGACGATTTCGAAATACGTCTTTCGTGGATTAAACGCAACCGGCTTTCCGCTTATTTCCCGAAATTCATATGAAAACTTGTAATTATTTTCAACGTCATACGTGCGCTGGCGCACGACGCTGGAGGAGGCTCTTCATTAAAGGGATACCCAGGAAAGGATAATTAAAAGTTTCACGAGGAACATCAGACCAGCAGCAGCAGCAGCAGCAGCAGCAGCAGCAGCAGCAGCAGCAACGGATGTTGCGCGGAGTCAAGGACCCGGTAGTCCCTGTTATTTGCTTCTGAAACTTTAGCCCGGCCCAAGTTAACGTCGTCTACCTTTCAACGCGTTTTCCTTAACTGGCTCGACACGTTCCTCCAGCGAATCGCTTTAGTCGCCTAAGAACGCATCGCGGAGACAATAAACTCCATACGAACTTCGTACTCCATCGAGCTCATATCATCGACATTTATTTTTTTCTACGTTACTAAGCGTAATCACTAATGGTAAAGGTAAATGCGCTTGCTTTCGATTGCTCTATCACTAATCGAAGACTAATACTAACCCTTTCTCTTTTCAGATATGTCCTACAAACCACGCCATCCCGTTGTCGAGGGTAAGTCATCGACAAATGCTCTCGCACGTTCTTGCAGCTTTTTGCTTAATCTTTAACAAACGAACGTGCCGAAAAGTCCTACAAGTGATAGATTACTTTTCCCTTATTTTTATTTAAAAATATTACGTATCTTTGCAAAGTCGAAAAAAAGAGGATTTATCTCAGGGGCTCGAAGGGGCTCTAACGTTGCATGTCCAATTCCACAGAAGGGGGGAGTCGACGGTTGTAAGAAATGCACCTACGCCGATTTCAACCGACATAGGACTCAATTAACCAAGCACACTCTCTTGCTTCAATGGAAAAAAAAAAAAAAAAAAAAATAAACATTTTCTCTTCGAAGAAGGAAATTTGAAGAGGGAAGCTCGATTCGTATAAAATGTGCAAGAGGATGTAAGGGTGAAGCTACTTTAAAAAAGGGCCTATTGTCATTTTGAAAAGCGATCCTCGTTACCTCTCGTTCGCTTTCATCGGACGATGAATAAGCGCGCTGGTTGTATTCTTTCTCTTCTTTGAAATCTTGGAATATACCCGACGCGAAGGAGGGAACGTTGGGCGCGCGATATTCATCGTTCATCCTAGACGTTTTCTGTCCTTAATAGCTCCTTTTCTAATCGAAAAAATCTTAAAAATCACTTGGTATTAAGCTACGCGAAAAACGCACCGTCCAAATTTACCGTCTCTCTCGGCAGATGACTCGCCTTAAAATAGAAAAACCGAGGACCGCGCGTAATACGAACCCTTTCGTCTTTGCTTCGTGCGATTGCAAAGTGCGGCCAAGTACTATCGTATATCTCTTATGTTTTCGTTACTTCGAATTGGCGAAATAATTAAAATCAATATTTTGGCTAAAGTTAAATAACGATAGCGTAAGTAAAAACGTTCCGAGTTCTTTAAGTAGACACGGAGAGAAAGGAAAACCGAAGAAAGTTTAACGACCAACGACTTTGCTAACAAGGCACACGAGCAATTATCGAGGCTTCCTTAATACGCGCGCAATGTGTCAGCGAAGCGAAGAGAAGAGCGATTTTCAATACCGAATGAAAAAGACTGCGTCAGCTCGAAATTCCTTTACTCGACCGATTGACTTTCGAGGTATGCGTGCCCGCGCGTCTGGAGCGCAGCGAGAGAGAGAGAGAGAGAGAGAGAGAGAGAGAGAGAGAGAGAGAAAACAAAAACAAAAAAGAAAGGAAAGAAAAGAAAAAGGCGCGAATGAGCGTGCGACGGAAGAAAAAGAATTACTATTACGGCGCGTTCCACGGAAGACAACGCTCATACCGCACGGTTATGCGCCTCGTAAAGCTCGTCTTTCATTCTCTAAACTTTGTTACTTTCAGCAATGAAAACTGGAAAATTTCACTACACTTTTATTTCCGCTCTGTCACGTAGCCGGAGACGCGGAATTCCTTCTCTCGTTTCGCACGCGTACCCCCCATATACGTACATATTACATGTACATATACCTACGTATTGTAGATATAGGTATGTACGCGCTTCTACGTGCAAATGCATGGACCCACCATTCGAGTCTACTGAAAAAACGTTTCGCGTGTTACACGTCTAAACGTAATTCACGATATTTTTCGAGGAGAAAACGGAAACGTAATATTCTCCAAGCAGCTACGTAGGTTTATTATATAGTATTAATTTTCACATTTTCTTTTCATTTTTAATTAACAAAATGGCGTCGATCTTGTTCGCCCTTTCTTTTTTTCCTTTTAACCGAATATTCGAAGGAGCAAAATAAATCGTACCAACGACATATGAGAATTTTTCTCTTTTTATCTTACTCCTTTTGTCGAGAACTCATTTTACGGTCTATTATCGGAAGCAAACGAGTTATATGCGGATAAAGGTAGATAGAACAACCGCAATGTAGAAACGAGAAAGAGATCGAGAGCCGCGCTAAAAGGTATATGGAAAAGAGGATGAGCGAAGGTGGATGGAAAGAAGTAGTAACGAGAACGAGAGAGAGACAGAAAGAGAGAGGAGTAATGGACGTGTAAAAGGTTGGGGGGAAAAAAATATACATACATTTGTACGAGCTGCCCCGCATCTTGCTGTCTTCCAGCGAGCGTAATTACGAACGTTTGTCGGCGAGCCTGTTAATTAACAGCGTGCGAAAAACGAGGTTAGACAAATAACGCGTAGAGAAAAAATGACGAGGGAAGTTTTCGAATCGTGCGTTCGTCCATTTCGTTTATTCCCAGAATACGACGACACGCCTCAGCATGTCGTATGCCCAGTGATATGCGCGTACGATCTCTCTGACACGTCCAAGAACTCTTTTAGCGTCCTTTTTCTTTTCTTTTCTTTTCTTTTCTTTTCTTTTCTTTTCTTTTCTTTTTCTTCTTTCTTTTCTTTTTTCTTCTTCCTTTTTTTTTCTTTTTTCCCTTTTACCTTTTCGTTTCTTTTCGTTCAAAGTCCGCGAAAAACATCTCGAGATCGGCTGAGGATTCTCAAGCGAGCCTTGGGAATACTAGCGGCACGATTATCAATTATTAGCAAAGTTAGAGTACATACGTAGAGAGGAGCGAACGTTGGATAGGGTTACCATTGTTCGAATAGTTTACCAATACTAACGTTTCGACGATGCACCGCGCACGGATATTCAAAGTTCGAACATTCGGATATTGAATACGGTTAGGCGGAAATTGCGAATACTCCGGATGACGTGGATACTTTGACTGTGGTTACTTCGAGCGGTATTAGATGTTCCGATGACAGTATTACGCACAAGCGACGGACTTTGAGTTCGACTATGCACTGGAATGTCGGATCATTTGGCACAATGTACATTTAGATGCAGTCCCTAGCTTGCATTCCTCCGCAATCTCTCTGTAACCCCTCCGAGATCAGCGACGTTCGTTGATCTTATCGAGTGAATGCGTTATGGGCCGCTGTGAGAGATCGCGCGACCAACGGGGCTGATTATTTCCATTTTAATGGGTCCATTCGATTTAACGCCCTTAAAAGATCCACGACAATATGTTTCCAAGGGAATACGCGTCGTCGTAAGAGCACAGATGGCTCGATTATACACATTTATACGCGCGTGAAAAATCCTGCCTTCTAGTTATATCCTATATATCACGATGCCGTAACATATTCCTTTAAGTATTTACCCAAATCTAGACATCCCTGGATGGATGCATATCGATGTGTAATATCCACAAATGGATACGTTCAGTATATTCGACACTTGAGCACATCCGCGATATGGAGTCGTCGAATAAATCGTTCGCTTCTTGCGAAAGCTTCATTCGAGCCAAGAAGGAGAAGAAAGAAATGAAATAAAAGAAAGGAAAGGGAAGATATGACTCTGTTGTAACTCTAACGAAAACTTATGAAGCGAAGTTGAGAGACACTGAAGTTTAAAAAACGTCAGGTTTCTCCGTAACGGATCGATGTCGACTCGAAAGCGAAATTCGCATACGTATGCGCGCTCTCACCTGATAATTCGGGTAGGCTCGAGCTCTCCCCTGGAACGCAGAACTCTCGAACGCACGTTGGCTTTTCGTTTCGTAATGCCAGTAGCAACACTGACGATCAATTATCTACCGCAAATATAGGAACGATTTCGATTTCAATGCGATGTTCGTAGGTGCGTTTCTAATCGATCGAATCGTGGAACGCACGAGATGTCACGTTTAGAATGTGATCTTGTTAAAACGTCCACGAACTGTTCGCGTGTCGAAAGATTCAACAAATATTCAGAGGTTTCTAGGAGATTTTTTAGGGGTATCGGTAAATATTTTTCTTCGTTCGCGAGGCTTAAGCGAAAACGAAGGAAAAAGAAGGACGATGCGTCAACGAGACGTGCTCTCCGGAGACCGATGTGAGCCTCTCCTAGACGTAGCTTCTCCTAGACACAGTGTTCCAGACGGCGAGAGAGAATGGTATGTCCCGGAATAGCGTCGGAGAAAAAAGGCCTGGTAAAAATTTCTACCGAAAATATTCTACGACTACAGGGTGCAGTTACTATAAATCCCTGCGTCCTCGTGGTCTCTGCTCTTTGCCGCCGCTAGGAATGGGGCAGGAAGAAAGATAGGAAGAAAGAAAAGTAAAGGACTTGAAAGAGAGAGAGAGAGAGAGAGAGACGTAGAAAGGGTGGAGGAATGCATACGAGGAAGAAAAAAGGAGGTATTCGTCGATAAATTACACGCAGAATAGAAAGAGGTGGGAAAGTTCTCGTACACGAAGAGGGGTGAAAAGGGCGATACCGACGGGGATCCGGCTTTTCTTTGTTTTTCCTTTTTATTCTCTTTCTCTCTTTTCCTCTTTCTTCCTCCTTTTAGCTCTTTTTCTTCTTTCTTCTTTCGAATCGCCCGCAGCAAAGCTCGGACGGACATTGGCCAGAATTATCGGGCTATCCACTAATATCGGTCTCGAGCTTGTCGCGAGCACCATGCGCGCTTTACCAGCAACGGCAGAGCAGGTGTGTTGGAAAGCTTTGAACTTTGGGTAATAGGTTACACGCTTTGGACCATTGGGATTGGAAAGTTGTTGTATATCCTCCGCTAAATCCACTATCCTCGTAATCATCCAACGACGATGACAATACGCCGTCCGCTCTACTATCGCTCGAACGATCTTCCGGTAATCACTGGATTTAATTTCGCTATTACTCCCATCTCGTTTCTCTCGATATATACCCATTTTCATCGTCAACTAATAGGATCGTCGAAATAAAGAGTCTTACGCGCGAGAATATTCGATATTAGACTCTAATTGTATTATTAATTATAACTGTGATCAATAGGAATGAATTAAGCAATTCGAAGCAACAAAAGAAAAAAAAAAAAAAAAAAAGAAAAGAAAAAAGAAGAGAAAAGAAAAAAATGGCGTCAAACGGCAAGAGTATCTCCCCAGTAGTCGCTATTATTGACGCGCAATGTACTTACGCGCACGTTCTAAGATAAGGTTTCGCTAAGAAATTGCTTTCCCCCCCGAGATAAAGCTAAGCTCTTGAGCTACCTTTCCTCCGCAGAAATCCTTTCTTT